TGCTAGGTTATTCAGCAAGTATCTCATTTCTTAACTTGTGAAACAGCATTTTCTTGGGTTGTGACCAGGAATTCTTTGGCTCTAATGTGATCAGACATATCTGAAACTTCTGGGCAATCCCCCACATAAACGGTGATTACAGTAAAACTTCAGTGCTACAAATACATCAGGAATGGAGGTTGTTCGTAACTCTGAACAAAACATTATGGTTGTTCAATCAAAAATTTATAACTGAACATTGATTTAATATACTGTTGAAACTTTACTATGTAGAAGAAAATGTTGCTTTCAGCCATCTTAATTTAAAGGAAACAAGCACAGAAACACTTTACCTTGTCAGAGTTTTAAAAAAAAAAAAAAAAAAACTTCCCCTTTTTTGAGTAATTTATGTTTAACACACTGCTGTACTCTAGTTGCCTTTATTTGTCTGCTGCTTGATTGTGTACTTCTCATTCCAAACAAAGTGTGTGGTTGACCAGTCAGTTTGTAACTCTGGTGTTCATAACTTGGTTCTATTATATTTTGAAAGATTGGATCACAATCCACAGCTAGGTGGCACATCCTCAGTTCCAGCATTAGGGAGGTTAAATTTTGATGAATCAGCGAATCGAGTAGTCAATGGAAATTCCATCGACTACTCAATTAGTCGATAAGGGGGATGCTCACTATCCCATTGCACCTCTCCCTTTGAAATGTACAGGAACCACCCGCAGCTCTTGTATATTTCAAAGGGAGAGATGCAGCAGGATCCCGTGCCAGCAGGGAGCAAAGAAGTCCCTGTTGGCACGGGTTCCCCTCTGTGTCTCTTCTGATTCAATCCCTGCTCACGCTTCTTCCCCGCTGCCCCCTGCCTCCCATGCCCACCACGGAGACGGTGCTGGGGGAGGAACTGTCTTTTAAGTCAGCTCCCCCCAGCACCAACTCGTGCTCCCCCCATTGCTGCCTCTCTCAGATAGATGCAGCAAGGTGGGGAGGGGGAAGCGACTAGTCAAGTTCCTACTTGGCTACCCAATAAGTATTTGCTTATTGGGTAGTTGACTAGTCAACTAGTCGCTTACGTCCCTAGCCAGCATTTCAAAATGTTTCATAGGGCACATTGGGGGAAAAAATGGCAAATATTATGTACTTATCTTCTTTTTTCATTAAAGCACATGTGCCTTGAAAGAGAGAATGAAATATATATAAAGTGTTCTTCATGGAGGCTATGTCTACACTACACTCCCAGAAAAGCTCTGCCACGTCCAAGGAATGAGTCCGCTTTTCTGGGACAATTTCTGAAAAAACGGACACGTTCTTTCGCCATCCCTGTAATTCTCATTGTATGAGGAAGAAGGGATGTGTCGAAAGAGGAGGTTTTCCCCAAAATTTGGCCCTGTGTAGACAGGCCAAATTTCGGAAAAGCCTCTTCCAAAAAAAAAAAAGGCAGAAAAAGATACGGAAATTGCGGTTCACAATTTGCATATATTTTTCCGACTTTTCTTTGCAGTCTAGACATAGCCTGAAGCTAATGATGCACTTGGGGCAGTAGGTTGGAAGAAGCATGGTGGGGATAGGGTCAGTAGCAAAAAGGGACAGGTGCAGGAGCAGGGACTTGAAGAAAGGAGTGAAAGAGGGGTGGGGACTTGGAGGAAGGTGGAGTGAGGGTGGGATAGGGCAGGAGGGGGGTTGAGCACCCCCCCAGAGATAGAGGAAATCAACATCTGTAGGTCAACTGCCAATTTGGGAACTGTGTGCAATAGGTGGAGAAGCCCAGAAGTTGGTTTGGAGAGAGATGTATGTATTCTGTGGGTATAATATGTACCAGACTACTTCAGAAATTGACGGTGTTTTCCAGAAGGTGCCCTGAGTCTCTCCACAAACAAACAGATGTTTAAATCTTGACTTGCTGTCAGAAGCTGTCCTGCTTCACAGGCCTAATCATTAGTCAAAAACTTTACAATGTCGGTATTTGCGTAATAATGTTTCTAAGGTATGAAATTTCACAATTTGTCCTTTTAAAAAAAGAGATTAAATCTCTAGGCCTTAAGAGAAATAGTCCTTAGTGGACTCTGTCCATTTTCAAGAGGACAAGACTCCACATCTCAAAAGCCACAAACATGCTAGCTAATAACCTGCTTGGAAGATGGAACAGAAGTGCAAGTGGGTGAAGAGATCAAATCACTCTCTAATGTCTTGAGATCAAAAAGATCAAGAGTATACCGCAGTGGACAGCGGGGACAGGGTGGGAGAGTTTGCATTGCCAGTGCTTGCACTGTCCACTCTACCCCCACACCGCTGTTTGCTCTGGCCCACCAAGCCTCATTCAAATTCCCTTTTCAAACTCACTTCTTTGCATAGGCTGATAAATGATAGTTCTGGCTTTCAAAATTCTTGTACAACATTATCTCAGTCTCTGTCCCTAGTTTGGACAGCCTTGTACTTTAGAAGTGGGTCGTGGTATTACTGATTGAATGGATAGGCTTTTAAGTAAGCCTAGTCCATAAATATTTAATTGGAGTATTTATTCTATGTGTATCTCGTGTGGTAGACTCTCAAAGTTTTGATGTGACATGACAGGACTGGAGATCCCTCGAGGTCAGTATACTTGCATCAAAAGACTATGAGAATAATGGAAATCAGCTTAAAAGCCTTCACTGTCAGGCAGCTATTTTGAGGGGTCTTGTTAACTTTTCTTGTGGCTTAATGTAGGCCATAAGGTTGTGTTTTTTCTCCATAGTTTAGGTGCCATTGTACCGACTAGTAATTGTATTGACTTTTAAGGTGCACAAATGAGGATTTTTACATTCCATCTAAAACATTTTGCAATCAATTGCTTGGTCTCAAGAGATGCTGGACCTGTTTGCCAGATTTAAAATAGCCTCCTACCACAAAACGGGTGTAATTATACCTCAGACTAAGATTTCTCAAATGACAGAAAACTGCTCAGTTTTGTGTTATGATGACTAATCATTTTGTAAACAGTAGTTGAGTAAGATTCAGACAAGGAGATCAACTCTTCTCTTGCTGTTCAAATTGTTTCTCTTATTGTCCATTTTGAATTTCTAATGAAAGGCCATTTAGCAGATGCAGTGAATTGGCTAAAGTGTGTGTGGGTAGAATCAGAATTTCTCCTCTAAAGGTCA